CGATATATGTTCCATTCTATATGCATCCGAAGAAGTGGGCTGTAGTCCACGAAAGCTTATGCTCTAATAAATTTGTTAGTCTCTAAGGTGCCACAAGTACTCCTGTTCTTCTTTTTGAGGATACAGACTAACACGGCTGCTACTCTGAAACCAGGAGAGAGAGTCGAGCCTGCGCAGTCAGAAGGCGCGCACCCCCTCCCCCGAGCGTGGAGAGCACGCGCGCTCACCGTTGCGTGCCTCGCTGACGCCGGCTCGTGCACTGCAGGGGGTGGCACGAGAGCGGCCGGCGCACGCGCGCACAGAGCGGTTCGGAGCAGGGGAGGCGGTTGCTCCGTGTGTGCCTCGCGGGCACCTCCCCCGCCCCTGTCTCAGGTGATGCTGGCGGCTGGGGCGATGATGAGGAAGAGGCTGAGAAGGGAGGCGGGGGCCTCCCGCCCTGCTGCCCCCCGCCTCTCGCCCACCGGGTCCGGCTCGGAGCCCCGCCGACCCGTCCCCTGCCCCTGAGGAGGCTCCGGGCCGAGCCGGAGGCGGCGAGCCAGCGGCCCCCTCCACGCCCCGTCTCCGTCCTCAATGTCTCCCCCGCCGCGGGGAGGCTGCTGCCGCCTTGGAGTCCAGCCGCCCCGGCCCCCTCTCCGTAGCCGCCCCCTCGCCGCCCTCCCCTTCGGCCCGCAGCAGCCGCCTGGGCGCGGAAGGAGCCCGGCCTCCCGCCCGACCCCGCGGCCCGGCCGCCGCCAGCCCCTGGCGGCCGAGGAGCAGCGGAGGAGGCGCAGAGACCCCCGGGGAAGATGAAGGCGGAAGCGGGAGACAACTCCATGATCAACCTGTCGGTGCAGCAAGTGCTGAGTCTGTGGGCGCACGGTACCGTGCTGCGGAGCCTCACCGGTAACCAGCCCCCCCTACCCGGCGCGGGGTGCCCGTGCACATTGCTCTAGCCTGAGCCAGGCCCGTGGGGCGGGGGTGACTCCGAAATGCGATAAGAGCGGGGATCCTGTTAAAGGCAGAGCCCCCGTAAGTGTCGGTGGGGTCCCACATCACTAGCAGGGCCCAGGGGGCTCTCACTTTTGCCTCCGCTTGTGGTCAGCGAGGGCTGACAGTGATTTGTTTCTTTCCTCTCTGGGGGCTGGTGACAAAAAGGGGCCAGGTGTGATGATGAGGGTTGGCAACCCCATACTGAGCCAGAGAAGGCTGATGAGTTGTAGTGGGCCCATTAAGCCGCTACACCTGGGCTTGCTGCCAGGGCATGAAGCGGTAGTTAAAAAGAGAAGAGGACAGCGTAATAGCTGGTGGACTAGGGAGAATAGTCCTCTTATCTTTGCTCCCCAAGGAAAGGGCCTGTGCAGAGACTGCTGACTGCCAGAGTCATCTGGAGGAAAGTGAGTCTGGCCCAGTACTGTGTAGTTTTTTGGGGGGACTCTTTCTTTGCTTTACTACAAGGAAGACTACTGGGAGGTCTATGCTAATAAAACTGTTGCAAGGAACCCCTGTGGGGGGTGGGAGGGGAAGGAGGGGGACAACTGCCTCAATAAACTCTGGACTTTTGCATCCTACTAGACTCTGCCCACTAATTTTGCTTTGACACTGAAGAGCACAGTCACCTGGATTGCATGGGATGTAGGGCACATCAATTGATTGTTGGTTGTGTTGATAGGCAGAAGTTTTGTAATGGTGGAGCTCTTATTGGGCAAGTACTTCCTATACAAGTATGATTGGACTAAGAGGGAGGGCTGAGGTAAAAAGGGTCTGGATTTCTGCTGTACAAGGTATTACCTGGCATTGAGAGATTAATATTAGTAATCTGGTTTTGAAATAAATTGTCTGCTTCTCTTCCCCGTCACCCTGTCTTTTCCATTGATGTAGTTGTGGCTGGAGTTGCTAGATATGTCTTTTCTTTTAAATGTTGAGATTTTTTTATAATAAGCATTCAAGACTTGAAAAATTCATTTGCTTTTGGCAATACACCACAGTCTATCATAGGAAAATAAGAAAGTTGAATAAAGTGAGGAAGTAGAAAGAAGTCATAATAGAAGGAAGAGACAGACTTTTTTAAATGCAGCAAATTGAAAAGTTGACAATAAAACACAGTATATAATGAATATATTTCTCTTCCCTCTCTGAATCATAGGGGGCATGACTTTGGAGGGAAGGGTAACAGGACTTTCAACTTGACTAGTAGGTTTTTTTCCCTTGGAGTACTGGGCATAAAGTAAATTTTTCAAGCCTGGGAAGCCTGAATACATGTAGTAGTAATAGTAATAAAAATACACTGAATATATGCAAACATAATTATTGGAAAATTAACTATATTTTATTAAAATTTAAATCCTAGATTCCTAGCTGCCTTTAAGGGAAAAGGATGCCAGAGTGTGATAGACACTTCTGTGGCAGATTTCCTCTTAAAGTTTCATCATTAATGCTAAGGGTTTTTTCATACCTGGCCATCACCCAGCAAAGTAGATTCTTGTATTAATCATTCAGCATACAAAGGCTGTAGAGGGGTTGCTGTTTATTGTGGTGTTTTTTCCTCCAGTCCTCCTTAAAACTGTGCTTTCTCTCAGTTTGTTGCTGTGGGGCCCAGTGTCCACTTGATGCCCAATGTGCATCAAGTCCGGAGGGGATTTGGAAGAAAGCTAAATAGTTATACAGCACCACCACAGCATATAGTTTCTAACCTTTGAAGACTGGATGCTAAAAACCCCAGAGTATGTTACCAAATGTAAGTGATGCAGGAGAAAGTTGATAGTCTTCCAGAAATTTGTGTTCTGTTTTACTGTATCCACTCCATTCACATAGTCTTTGTGAATCTGAGCTAATTGCTGAGTATTAAGTAATGAGGGTGATCGTTTGTGCTTATATGGAATTTAGCGAAGAGCTGTGTAATTTATTTTTTATAACTGGAGCTCTCTTCACTTTAATGAATAGTAAAAAATTAAAATTTGTATATTTTACCAATTGGTGTCAGAAATGGGTCGGACAGTTTCTAAAGGTGTGTGAAATACACTTTTTCCTTAATTACAATTGCAATTAAAACACATTCTGCTTTATCTGTTGCTGACACCTATTGCTGACAATGAGTGACTTTCATAGCATAATATGGCATAGTTTTGAGGAGTTTTGTGTTCGCTCTTTATAAAAACTGTGACTTACGTGGATATGTATTTAGGAGCTTAAACATTATTTTCATTTTATTTTAAATAGTACTCAACAGCTAATGTTAGTGAGACTTACAACTGATTTTTTTTTGGAAAATAAAATAAAATAAAATAAGCTTTATATATAAAAAACAAACCTTCCCTCAAAATATTTGACAGAGGTAGAATAAATTGCTTTACAGAGAGTTGGGTACAGTGACACTACATACAGAGAGAAAGGTGGATGAATGAATGAGTGGTCTGCTTGCTGACTATTACTTCATTTGTTCTCCTGCCGCATTTATGAGAATTTTTGAACTCAACTGAGTGTAAAGCATTTCATTCTACCTTTGACATGTACAGTGTGTAAGAAGAGATTTCTTGGATGGAGTGAGGGAAGAAATTTTTAAAGATATCTACAAAGAAATGTAGCCCCAGGAATGTATTCAAGAAGACCCTTACGTGTTGACTTCAGGAATCAAACAGGCCTCTTGATGACAAAAACCAATCAAAGTTAGATGAACAAATTGACCTTGTAATGATTGTTTGTATAAAACTGTAAAGTTTATATAAGCAAAGTGAAGGTTTGCTGAACAGTTTGACTGAATTTTTAGGCTATATTAAAATGTATTATGTTTAAAGATTACCTCTGTACTCAAGGAAACTGCAGCATTTATTTCCACTACCCCATGTAGCTGTTATGTACCTTTTCTGCATGTTTCCCTGTTGTTGCATATTCCAAGGATTTAAGCTTCATGCACCTGAGTTAGTTTTGTTTTCCCCATCCCCATGCACTGTACCTCATTCTTTCTCTACATCCCTGCTTAGAGAGGGAACTTGAAAAATTCTTGCTGTAGAGTGAGTGATTACATCTTCTAAAGTCAGAGTATGTTATGTTAATCTCAATTTTAGTCTCCACAGTTTACTGTGGACACTGTTTCCTTTTAAAAATGCATGATTTTTAGAGGTGTTGAGCACTTTAAATTCTTGAATTTTGAGAGCTGGTGTTACTTGGCATTGCTGAAAATCAGGCCTACCGTTTATTAGCATTGTGCAGAAAATAGAAAACCACCTTCACTTCAAAACCAGTTGGGCATTTTGAAGAGCCCTGCTAACTGAGCAAAAATGTTGCCTTGCAGAGCATGGATATATTTATTGCTACATGTCATGACTACATCTCTTTCTGCCTAACAGACTGCTGCTTGCTAGCATCTGTCAGTATATGTGGGGGTTTTTTTTTTACTCTAGTATGGCTTATGTTCCAGGCTCCTCTTTTTTAGACATTATATTGTCTTCGTGTGAGGAGTTATGTGCCTTTGTGGAGTAACAGTATTAGGTTATTGCCAGAAGAATATCATACAATTACATAAAAAAGAAAAGAAAAAGGCACTATGTTAAAGTTGCAAAGTGAAGCACTTCTACGAAATGCCAGGATTCAGTTTGCCTGTACAACCAGTATTCGGCCCTCTTGAGCATATGCGTTATGATAGTGTTTAATCATGTAATTACAGACTAGTTTTTCTGCAGAAGCCTTTCCTCATTCAATGAGTGAGGAGTCTTCAGTATTTCTTCTATAGTCATCTAGTGTATGGCCTCAGGTTTATTTACTGCACCCTATTCAAACCCTGGATTGAATACAAAATTATGAATTTTATCCTGGGTATTTTCTAATTAGCTGCTGTAGTATGAGTGCTTCACAAACATGAATGAATTTATCTACACAAGACACCTGAGAGACTAGGTGGTGTTATATCAATTTTACTGAGGGCCTAGAAAGATGAAGGCCAAAATTGTCAAGTATCCACAAATTTTGGGTGCCCAGTTTGAGACACCTAGAACCTGTTTTTTCCCCCCAGAAAACTTAGCATGTTATAGCCATTTTTATAGCATATTATTTGTTCAAAGCCCAGTTCCAGTTGACTTCAGTTATAGTTGTGAGTGCTCACACTTACGCAGATCTGGTCCCAGGTGTCTCATGGGCACCCAGAAAAAGAAAAACACAGCTAGAGGCCAACTGAGGACATTTGGTTTAAGTGACTTCACTAACATCACACAGAATCTCTGTGGCAGTGGCAGAGATAGAATCTAATTCTCTAGGGTGGCTTTCAGCTTCCTTAAACATGAGACTTTGCTTTCCTCTTCCTGCAACCCCCTGCTTTATTCATTACACACCATCTAACTTCTGCAACAAATGAGGTAGGGATTCTACACATGACAGCCTCATTCATTACCCAACCCTAAGCTATTTCCAGAGCCCCATCTATGCTGTGCACTGAATGAGACAGTGGTCGTGTGGAAAAATTTGTATGTGATTGTATAATAGACTGTCATAATTCATAAGAACAAGGGGATTTCATTAGCAGCCTCCTGGTATTTCCTAACTTTTGGGTGTTGGACTTTGTAATCTTTGCATTTTTTCAGTGTAGTTCTTTTTTATGTAATGTTTTAATTTTAAAGTTTTTTTTTTTAATCACATGGAGCTATATTGAACCCAGCTTGAGTCATCAGTAGGGTTTGGATCTTTTCATCCCCAGCACAGGCCACTTGAGCTAACTAACTGGTAGCAGTAGTAGGCTGAATAGGTGGATCAGGCACTAGAGAGAGATGACACATTTTGCCAGCAGGTTTCACAAATATTTGCTGACAATGGAAGAATATTGAGTTTTGGGACTCCTGGTTTCAATTCTATGTCTTGGAGAGAAGTGTTCTTTTCTAGTGATTATATATCTTTCCCTGTTCTTTCTCCCACCTCCA